ATTGAATGAGTTGAGTACTAGTTTACTAATTTACTTAATTTTGAGCAACAAAGATTGTCAAGTAGAATGATGAACATAAACAAGTGATGGAAATTCAAATAGTATAAACAATGTTAGAGAATTGATTTCATACCTTTTCATATAATTTCCTCCCCTTTTCAATCGATGTGTAAATTATAATTATCCACTTGAGTTTATTTAGAGCTTGTTTACCCCTAATCCCTTAGTAGGCAAACGTATCCCTTGAATTTGAATCCCCAATCCCTTAGGCCAATTACAAATTCAACAAGATCATGAAGAACAATCATATCTCAATTCAAACTAACTAGTCCTGCCCAATTTCCCAATTGTGACAGCATCTAATCTGTTCTATTTATAAACGCAAGCAATTCCCAATCTCCCAACTGTGAAACTGCTCATAGAATAGACATTAAAACATAAATAGAACACTGGGATAATTATAATGAACTTAACATCAATTGAAAAAGGTTCAGAAAATATAATCCAAAGCACTACATCAATCCACTAACAAAATGGAAAATTAGTTCTGCATAATGTAAGAGAAGTACTCTAAAGCAAAAGTCTCCAAAAAGCTACAGAAGAAGACGAAGAAGAAGAAGCCCTCTGTTGTGCGTGAATTCCCCCTTTTTGTCTCACCCTTCCACGTGTTTTCATCCTCCCCCATCATTTCCACAAATTCCTCTTTTTTAGGAGAGTGGTTTTCCTTTTCCCTAACTTCCTCCAATTTTCCTTTAATTTAATCTCTTTAAATCAGTCATAAAAGAGATCACTAACTGCTCAATAACTGCTCCTGGAAACTTTCACAGCCCATGGAAAATTCCCCACTCTGCTTGTGTTCTTCTCTGCTTTAATTCTGTTTTCTTTCGTGAATCCACAGATTACTCCACAGGTTGTGGGAACTTTCACAGCACAGTTGTTGAACTTTCTGTTTTGCAACTCCATTTAGAAGCAACATCCACATGTAACTCCACAGGTTGTGAGACTGTTCACAGCTTGGTTGTTGAACTCTCTGGATTCATCTTGGTATCTTGTACATCAATTCTTCCCAAATTGTGATTTTGGCACTTAGAATCATCAATCTACAATAAAAACACAAAATGCCAATGTATGATCCGAAACAGAGATAATCCATGACTAAATCCTTCAATGAATGCAATTATGCATGCAAATGACCTAAACTAAGACATGAATGCAATTACATGTACTCACACATCAAAATACCCCATGCTTAGACGTTTGCTTGTCCTCAAGCAAAGAGAATTCAACTAACACAGAATGATTATGCACACAGAATGATATAAAACCTAAATGGAAACATACCATCTCATTTCAAGTTTAGTTCAAACAATGATATTCCTCAAGCCCATACTTCACAAAATTTCAAGCATAATGACTAACTTATTGGGACCCTAAGTGCAATTACTGAATTGAGGTATGACACAAGACATTAAGGCAGATAATATTTGACATTGAAGTGTCCTGAAAAAGATTTTCTATTAGGTTCCTCACTTAGAAAACACTTACCTGTCAACTAAGCATGGGTCTTCCACTTGCCACACTCAGTCTCAAAGGAGTGTCTCTTCCCCAGTAACATATAGTCTCAAAGGGGTGTCAATTTATTCCGCAATTTATTGTTTTGTTTTTGTTTTTTTTTTTTTTTTTTTATATATATAAAAACTTTGACAGACAATTCTCCAGTAACCAAGTGCAGTGAGTGTCACCATAGAAACCTAACAGAAAATATTTTCTATCCTTTCCCCAAATATTATCTTCCATTAGTATCTTAGTGTCAAATCGCACTGTGTAGTGTGTGAAGTTTCCCAACAAGCAATCAGAAATCTATTCACAATGTGCTTAGAAAATATCATTGTTCAAAACATAGAACTCAAAGCTAAAATGATACATTTCCATATAAACGTTAAATGCACATGCAAATGCAAAATGTAAGATGTCATACATACAAACACCCTAAGCCTACATATTTACAAAGTCCCCAATGTATGGAAAGTAAAAAAAAAATTACAGGGGGTTAGAACTCACAAGATTAGTGATGACTAGAGTTGAGCTTGGTGAGAACTTCTTGTAAGAGTTGTTCCACCTTTTGCTGATGAAGAATTTGATAGTCCCTAAATTGGATGAACTCCTGATAATGTAGGAGTTGTTGTGCTTTGAGTTCAGTAAGGGACTGCTGGATATGAGCATTAGTGTCAGCCGTAGAAGGCTGAGGAACTGGAGGTATGTGAGATGACGGTTCTGGATCATGATGAAGGGGATTTTGGCATTGAGAAGCAGAGAAGGTCCAGCTATCTTTACCCTGCACTGAGGTGAACTCTGGATTTGGAAGACGTTGAGGTTGCAATCCTGTGATAGCACTCATGACTAAGCAATAGTGATCTTCCCTTTTCACCAGCATCTCATTATGGATTAACATTTCCAAATCAATTCGGGAATTCCCTGAGATTGCCTTGTCATTCTCCAAAGAAATGTTGAGATGCAAAGCAATAATGGTGATCAGGCCACCAATTGCTATTTGCCCAGAGGATGCTTTTCCTACCTTGAGAAACTGCCTTGCCAACCAAGCTCCTGAGTCTAATGGAACATCGTTAACCATACCCCACAAGAATAATAATTCTGACTTTCGAACCGCAGAATGACTATCACCCCTAGCAAATAGTGTATGAGCCATGAGGCGGTGGGCATATCTAAAACAGGGGTGTTGGATATTAGCCTCCTTGGAATCAGATGAGACAAAAGAGCTTGATTGAGACAATTGATACCAAAAAGACCAAGCATCAAAACTTCTAGGATAGTTCCTTTCACCTCCAGTTGGGAAACCAAAGATTGCATTGAACTCAGCTAAAGTGAGTCTATAAGACACATTATGCAACCTAAATGCTATCAGCCCTTCTTCACAATCCTCTTCCAAATAAATTTTATGCATGCACACAGTAGGACTAATACCTTGCAAATCATCAATTTTCCACCCAAGGGCCGATTTATACTCCCTCAACACCCTTAAAAGTTTATCTTCTTCAGTACATGAAAGTTCATTGCTCACAATTACTGGATTACGCTTTTGCTCATCAAGGAACCTATATGTAAGGTGAGAAGGGAGTTGTTTCAATTCCACCTTGGACGTTTCTACTCCTCCATCTTCACTCTTGTGTAAATCTTCTATTCCTCTAGTGGAATTGAATATTGGCTTCAGCACTTCCAATTGATGAGCACACTTCACCACCTCTTCATCATTAATTTCTCTTTTCAACTCCTTTGCTTCCATTCCTGACAGTAGAGTTCTCTCTAATGGATTCTGCTTTACATGGAAATTTATCTCCTTCAACACAAGAGACTCAAGTATTTCAGCTTTGAAACAGTCCTCTCTGTCAAGTTTGTGCTTCACTGCTTCAGTCATAGAAAATGTGACTTTTTCATCTGCCACTCTTAACATCAATTGTCCTTGTTCTACATCTATCAATGCTCTTCCTGTTGCTAAGAATGGTCTTCCCAATATAATTGGGACTTTAGCATCTTCTTCCATGTCAAGAACCACAAAATCAGCTGGGAAATAGAATTTATCCACCTTCACTAGAACATCTTCCACAATTCCATAAGGATAAGTCATTGATCGGTCTGCCAATTGTAAAGTTATCATAGTGGGCTTTACTTCACCAATACCCAGCCTTTTAAAAATGGACAAAGGCATCAAATTGATACTTGCTCCAAGGTCACATAATGCTTTACCCACAGTTATGTTTCCAATCTCACATGGAATGACAAAGCTTCCTGGGTCTTTCAACTTTGGAGGCAATTTTTGTTGAATTATTGCACTGCACTCCTCTGTGAGCATAATTGTTTCATCTTCTTGAAGCTTCCTTTTCTTTGACAGCAAGTCTTTCATGAATTTAGCATAACTTGGCATTTGCTCTAATGCTTCAGCAAATGGAATATTAATGTGGAGCTTCTTAAAAACATCAAGAAATCTTGCAAATTGCTTGGCTTGTTCTTGCTTCTTCAACCTTTGAGGGAATGGAATTGTAGGGACATACTCACGCATCTTTTTCTCACTCTCTTGATTTTTTTCTCCCTCTTCCTTCTCCTCACATTTTCTCTCAATTTCTTTTTCAGCACTCTCTTCTACTATTTCATCAACTCTTTTCTTTTTCTCTCTCTCCATCTCACTCCTTTTTTCATTCTCTAACACTCTTCCACTCCTCAATTGAATTGCCTTGCATTGTTCCCTTGGGTTTGGTATTGTGTCACTAGGGAATGTGCCAGGAGATCTCTCTGAGAGTTGTCTTGAAAGCTGTCCAATCTGGTTCTCCAAATTTCTGATTGAAGCTTCCTGGTTCTTGAAATTAGTCCTTGTCTCATTCATGAAATTTGAAGTCTGGTCCACAAAGGTAGAAGTTTGCATTGTTAACTTCTCTAATGCATTTTCCAACGTAGACATCTTGTTCCCTTGATTGCTGGGTTGAGCTTGATATTGATATGGAGGCCTTGGCGGGTTAGATTGGATTGGATTACTCCAAGGTCTAGGTTGTTGGGGCCTCCAATTTGCATTAAAGTTGGTAGAAAATTGATTTTGTTGTTGTCCCACTGCATTTACTTGTACCTCTTGGTGAGTGGCCTGACATTCACCATTTTGATGCATTCCTCCACAAAAATCACACCCTGGAGATCTTGTATTCACATTATTCGCTTGCATATTTCCCATCTTCTGAGTCAAATCTGTAATCTGCTGTGTTAACAACTTGTTTTGGGCTAAGATAGCATCCAATGTATTAACCTCCAACACACCAGCTTTTCTATTTTGACGGTCAAACTGCATATTCACTGTGTTGTTTGCCATTAATTCTAAAGTCTCCAAAGCTTCCTCTGGTGTTTTCAAAATGAATGATCCTCCACTTGCTGCATCCAACATTGTCTTATAAGTGGGTGAAAGACCATTATAGAAAGTCTGCACTTGCAACCATTCAGGTAAAGCATGATGTGGACACTTCCTCATTAGTTCCTTATATCTTTCCCATGCCTCATATAAGGATTCATTGTCTTGCTGCACGAAGGAGGTGATCTCATTCCTCATTTTCGCTGATTTGGAAGGAGGGAAGTATTTGATTACAAATTTTGTAGCCATATCCTCCCATGTAGAAATACTTCCTTGAGGTAGTGATTGAAGCCAGCTTTTAGCCTTATCCCGTAGTGAAAACGGAAAAAGCCTCAAACGAATTGCATCATCTGAAACTCCATTATACTTCAAAGTATCACAGATTGCCAGAAAATTCTCCAGGTGAGAATTAGGATCTTCTGAAACTGCACCTCCAAATTGATTCTGTTGAATGACTTGTAACAAGGCAGGCTTGATTTCAAAATTATTGGCTTGAATAGGAGGTCTCACAATGCTTCCTTGATAACCATTAGGATCTGGCATAGAATAATCACGTATAGTCTTTCTCGGATTTTTTTCTTCTGCCATTGTTGATGTCTCCTCTTCTTGCTCAATTCGTCTCTGTTCCTTTCTTCTTTCTCGCTTTCTTCTTCTTGCACTACTTCTGTTGCTTCGTGCTGTGCGTTCAATTTCTGAATCAAAAAGTAGATCTTCCGGAGCAACAGTACCTCGCATAAACAACTTAAAGACACAAAAACACTGCACAAAAATTATACGTTACTAAAAACAAATAAAAACTCAAATCTTAAGCTAATTAGATCACTAATATCAACTAAAATCAATCCCCGGCAGCGGCGCCAGAAACTTGATGTACGTTTGGCAAGTGTACCAATCGTAATTGTAGTAACAAAATATCGTCCTCAAGGATTGAATGAGTTGAGTACTAGTTTACTAATTTACTTAATTTTGAGCAACAAAGATTGTCAAGTAGAATGATGAACATAAACAAGTGATGGAAATTCAAATAGTATAAACAATGTTAGAGAATTGATTTCATACCTTTTCATATAATTTCCTCCCCTTTTCAATCGATGTGTAAATTATAATTATCCACTTGAGTTTATTTAGAGCTTGTTTACCCCTAATCCCTTAGTAGGCAAACGTATCCCTTGAATTTGAATCCCCAATCCCTTAGGCCAATTACAAATTCAACAAGATCATGAAGAACAATCATATCTCAATTCAAACTAACTAGTCCTGCCCAATTTCCCAATTGTGACAGCATCTAATCTGTTCTATTTATAAACGCAAGCAATTCCCAATCTCCCAACTGTGAAACTGCTCATAGAATAGACATTAAAACATAAATAGAACACTGGGATAATTATAATGAACTTAACATCAATTGAAAAAGGTTCAGAAAATATAATCCAAAGCACTACATCAATCCACTAACAAAATGGAAAATTAGTTCTGCATAATGTAAGAGAAGTACTCTAAAGCAAAAGTCTCCAAAAAGCTACAGAAGAAGACGAAGAAGAAGAAGCCCTCTGTTGTGCGTGAATTCCCCCTTTTTGTCTCACCCTTCCACGTGTTTTCATCCTCCCCCATCATTTCCACAAATTCCTCTTTTTTAGGAGAGTGGTTTTCCTTTTCCCTAACTTCCTCCAATTTTCCTTTAATTTAATCTCTTTAAATCAGTCATAAAAGAGATCACTAACTGCTCAATAACTGCTCCTGGAAACTTTCACAGCCCATGGAAAATTCCCCACTCTGCTTGTGTTCTTCTCTGCTTTAATTCTGTTTTCTTTCGTGAATCCACAGATTACTCCACAGGTTGTGGGAACTTTCACAGCACAGTTGTTGAACTTTCTGTTTTGCAACTCCATTTAGAAGCAACATCCACATGTAACTCCACAGGTTGTGAGACTGTTCACAGCTTGGTTGTTGAACTCTCTGGATTCATCTTGGTATCTTGTACATCAATTCTTCCCAAATTGTGATTTTGGCACTTAGAATCATCAATCTACAATAAAAACACAAAATGCCAATGTATGATCCGAAACAGAGATAATCCATGACTAAATCCTTCAATGAATGCAATTATGCATGCAAATGACCTAAACTAAGACATGAATGCAATTACATGTACTCACACATCAAGAATCTTTGACAGGTCTCCACCCGTACGCAGAGGAGGAAATTGAGGAGGGAGGAGCGAGAACCAGACGGCCGAGAGACGAGAAAAGAGAGACTTAAAGGTATTAGATGACTCAGCCCTACAACCGAAAAAAAAAAATATATGTTTATATAAATCTTTTAAAAACCATAAAGAAAATTGTTAATACGCATACATTACTCCAACAATAAAATAAAACAAATAAAATAAAAGAAACGGAAAAATAAAATATAGAAATTATTTAGAATGATATAAAAGGTTTAAAATCGTAATTTAAAAGTACATTTTCATTTTTTAATCGTATAAAATTGTGTTTAAAAATTTCGGATATGAATATCCGAACCTATATAAATTGGATATGCATATTCGATGGACATTCTAATTTTATTTTTAATCTAAATTATTTTTATTAATTTTAATAAGTTCATAAATTAAAAATTATTTTACTATTTATAAACTGATAAAAAATTATATATAATTTTAGAAATAAGGATAAACTTATAAAATAATTAAAACAGTAATATAATTAAACTTTTATATATAACATTAAATATGCATCGGATATTGATATTCGAATTTTTACTATCGATCCATATCCAATTCCTACGCATTCGACTATCGGATGTCCGAGTGATGCTCCCTCCACCACTCCGTTTTCTCCCTCCACCTCTCCAATTTATTTTAAATTCCAAATTTACTATTTTTACCTTTTACTTTTACCAATTTTACTTTTTATTTTTTAAAACACTAATCTCAATCCTCTCTGACTTTCACTTTCACTTTCCCTTTCCCTTTCATTCTCAATAGCAAGCCCCCACCCCCCATCGTCACTTTCTCTCTTTTTCTTAATTTCCACTTTGTTAACACAACATTTTCCATTTCTCTTTCTTCTTTCTTTCTTCTCTCCGTTGGTGCGTGGTGCATTGTTTCGCTATGCATTCAACAAAATACTTCCTGTTTGCATCGTCATAATTGTTTAATTTCACATGATACTGTACAATGAAACATCAGCCATCATCAAAGCTAGAGACATTGAAACAGTATTCGTGTAGTTGCAGTCATTTATAACAAGGAGCTTTCAGGTAGCGCAACAGTTGGTATAATCAAAACATGTTATAATAATAATATTAACGTAAGTGATTACAAGAAACTAGGTAGTAGCAGCATTGTTGTGTTCCCCATTTTAAGGGATCACATGGAGGCCCATGTGGGGGGAAGGATTTAGACTTTAGCAAACAACTAGTGAAAACTCAACTAAGAGGATATTTATTTTAGAGCTTAATTAAGTGCAGATTGTTGATTATTGAGATGATTTGAGAAAGAAATAATAAGTTATGTGGGGAGAAGAAAGAAAGAAGAAGAAAATGTTGGGTTAACGGAAGTGGAAGAGAGAAAGTTACAGTGTGGGGTGGGGGGCTTGCTGTTGAGAGGGAAAGGGAAAGTGAAAGTGAGAGGAGATTGGGATTATGATTTTAAAAAATAAACAATAAAATTGGTAAAAATAAAAAGTAAAAAAGGTAAATTTGGAATTTAAAAATAATTGGGAAAGTGTAGGGAGAAGATGGGGTGGTGAAGAGAACTCCGGATGTCCACATCCCGCATGCATAACCTCGATAGGATTAGTTTCAGTTTTTCATTTCTTCGTAGTCAATAAATTCACTTTCGGTTTCTCTTTTCATGCATGCAAACAAATTAACAAGTGCAGAGGTGTAAGGTTTCTTTATAAAAATGAAATGGGGGTGAAGGGGTGTAAGGGTGCAGGGATGTAGAGTAGGGATGAAGGGGTGTAGAGGTGCAATAATGCATGTTTGGGGATTAGAGAAAAATGAAGGTGAAGTCAATGATAGGCACAAAAATTTTCAATAATAAAAAAATTAAACTTTTAAACCACTTATTAAATAATGACATTTTAAAAAATTGGAGGTCAAAAATGAAATCCTTGAATGTGCAAGATGAAACACCCTATTATAAATAAGATACAAAAACCTCTGACCTAGTGTACGAGTGTACTTTGCAAAAGATTCAACATATGCACTACATTAACTTATCCATAAAAATTTCTCATTTATTTTTTATTTTAACAAAAGTTAAAATTATTATACATTCTATGTGAAAGGATTTATTAGATGCACTTCATTAACTTATTCATAAAAGTTACTTAAATTTGAATTCTCTGCTGAAATTTTAGTATTGTTTTTCATTACATCTTTAAATATATTAATTTACATTAATTTTAATATTTTAAAATATATTAAAAATGAACACATGAAAGTCAGTGTATTTTAAAGATAAAAAAGGGAAAAACCAAAAGAAAGCCTAAACTCAAATTACTCATTTATTTTCTTATTTGATGAAAAATTAAATTTAGTGTACAATCTTTACAAAAAAATTCCACATAAGTATTTCGTTAACTTACCTATAAAATTTACTTATTTGTTTTCATATTAGAACAAAAGATAAATAAAAGGGTTAAATATGTTTTTAGTCCATAAACTATCAAGCGAATTTGCTTTTAGTCTCTCTTTTAAAATAAGGTACATTTTAGTCATCCTCCTTAAGAAAACCCTAATTTTTGTCCTCCAAAACTAATATCGTTAAAAATTAGTTGAACTGGCTGACAGTGTAGTGCCACATAATTTTTTTTTCTGACATCACTCCTGCCAAATTTTCTTCCCTTCCACCAACTCAACCCCATTCCCCCACCATGGACCTCAACCCCTACACGGCGCAACGCCCCCCCACCCCCCGCCCCCCGCCACGCTTGAGATGTTCCTACGCCCCTCAGCCACCGACGACCCTCCCCTCCCTTCCGGATCTCCTCCTCACGGTTCTATCCGTCTGCTTCCTCGTCTCCTCCTCCAAGCCCAACATCGCTTCCACCCGCTGTCCCTTCCTGTGTCGCTTCCTCAAATTTCCCGCCATGTCCCTCACCGCAACACCTTCCAAAATACCACCACAGCCACTACCCTCAACACCCTACCCCCGCGCCGCCACAACTTCGCATCTCCCCAATCCCTCTCCGACTGGCTCAAACCCCACCTCCCCTCCGAGCCCTTCGCCTCATAGGGCGTCAAGTCCGACACCAAAAACGTGCACAACCTCTAGCTTGAACTCTCCAAGGGAAAACCTCCCTCGCCGATTCCACTCCTCTGGTTCAGACGGTCAACGTCGTCCTCATCCCTGTCACCACCAAACACGATCATAGAATTGCAAGCAATTCACAAAATTAATAACATCAACTCTCAACTGTCTTTTTTCCGTCAAGTTTGTCCATAGTTTGATTAAACCAGGCTATATCCCTCGTTTGACTCAACTTCAACTTTTCTACTTAAGTCATAATTAAAATTTGCCCAGGAACATTTTTTTACATCTCATCCATGATGAGTCTCACTAAATCGATTTTAGGCAAACACGTTTTCAAACATCAAATGCATATTTAATAAGACATTTTAAAATCTTCCATTTAACTAAAATATTTATTAATCAAAAAGTAGTTACAACCAAGATGCAGATGGCGCGTGCACGTGGTTTGGCTTGTGGCTCAGTTATCTATTCTCGATCATAATCTTGACAAAGCTTGTGTCTGCACTCTTCAACAGAGCTAGCAGAACTCTGTTATACCAGCTTAGAGCACGATATTAATTGAGTACAGAGATTCACATCTTCGATTTCTTTGACACCTGACACTCTGAGGGGCTTATCGATGGAGATGAAACATATCATCGACCCAAAACCTGGTATACAATCCCTTCGACAGAGCCTTCAGCTCAGAGTTCATATAGAAATTGAGTGTGTACTCTTGCAAAAGTTCACTTCAATTTTCGGATCTCAAAAGCAGCTCAATTTTCACAGGTCTCGACAAGTTATAGCCCAAATGACACTCAATTGCAAGAAGTTCTGAGCGATAAGGTGAAAGGAGATCAGAATCAGATGTCGCACCTTGATATGAAGGTATCGCAACTGATCTGTGAGTTTCAAAATATCAGATGATAAAAAATGATATATGCCAAATAACATACGATACTCAACACTTTGCTGCATCACATGATATTCAAGAGATATACCATTATACTACAGCCTTCAATACTGACAATTAAGTGTGGGACAACCAACAGAAATTCAAAAGAAAGTGGGTATAAATAACTTGAGACCAAGAGGAGTTGTGAAGAAAGCGCACAAATCAATCTATGAAATAATAAGCTGCATACGTACAATGTAGAAATATAGCTCACCATCCGATAAACCCGTCTTCAAATGAATCTGTGACATTAAAACGTTTTTTATTGTGTACAATGAGTACTAATATGCTACAGATTATATTCAATGATGCAATCACAAAATAATAATCTGTCAATTGCCCTCAGATAATCAGTTCATCAAGTTTCAGGATAATGAAAAACGATATTTTATGAGCAAATGAATAGAAAGAATCACAGGGCTGCAAATTACAAACTTTTATGAGCACATATGACTTTGTTGTATATATTTTACTATGTAACATTACACAGGCGATCACAAATATACATTTCCGAACCAAAATACAGCCATATAAACTACTAATCATTCTAACATCCATACAATAACAAGCCATACATGATTGAGCACCGTCAATCATAAAAAAGAAAACCAAATACCTACATCCATTTGTGTGTACCAGTCTTAGGTTGCGACAAATTCATTTGACAATCTGTGCATTTCTGTTACTCCCCATGTTGCTGTGAATGACAATAGCACCTGACCTGAGATTAGATAGCAAGGTATCACGACCAGTCAAGACCACTTGGAAAAAACTATCGACTTCCTTTGTAAGAAGATCTAGTCCCTGTGAAAGCTTCTCCGTTGATTTTCCTAATTCCTCGACAATATTCGCAAGTGATTCCATCTCGATGGGATCTACAACACGCTGGATAATAGGATATAATTCCTTTACAGCGGAATCAACAGATTCCAACTCATTCAAAATAGTAAATCTTCCACTTGAAAATCTAACTCTAATTTCCTCATTTACAAGATTTTGCAACCTTTTAAAGGTTCCGGACCAAGAATATAAGTCAGCCACGTCCAGATGCATCACATTCTTTGTAGAGCCTGAAAAAGTTGCAGCAAACACACTGCAAACAAATACTGTGAGCACCTTGACTCCATACATAGCTTGCATCAAAACCTTCCCTTTTGCAGACTTTTTAACCTTAGGAAGATCAAGTGACCCCAGAAGACCATCCAAAATGCTTCCACATTTCTCAATCCTAGGGTTTCCTGAACCAATATGCTGCTTCCAACCATCAAGTGAAGAACATGCCCGATCATACTGCTCTGAAGAGGAGGAACCTAAATTGTGCAAAGCACACTGAAGTAAAAGATGACCCTGACTCATCCGTGATAATTCAGAGCTGAATGCAATGCAAAGATCCAGCAACTTCACGCTAATGTCAAAGTAAACATCTATCCATTTCTCATCCCAATCATTAACAGGCAGATCAAGCTCTGCTATAAGATTTTTAATGTCATTATAACTCTCAGAAAGTGCCTGCATCGCCAAAGTCATCCAAGACAAGCTAAGGATCTCATCCTTGCTCTCGTGAATAAGCTTTTTCAGCCTCTCTTCCAAAGTTACTTCAAAAGCTTGTAATACTGAAAACAGCTCTGAAGTAATTTTAGTGCCTCTAGGTGATATCATCCTAAAAGGATTTCCAAAAGGGAAGAACGATCGGTTTGCATCCTGCGCACGACTCATTTAGAAATTTTACTGCAACAAAAAAGACTGGAAGTAGTAAGATACAACATTGATGGAAAAAAAAAATCAAAATCTACAGTCACTAAGTAGAAGCAGTACACTACGAGTTATTTGTCCAATAAGTTTAGTATTTCTGCGCCTGAATAATATTTTTAAGTCTAAAGTGCTATGGTTAATATCAAACAACTACCCTTCATTAGCCACTGCAAACATTGTTTCTTCCCCTTCCCTTCTAATTAGGTCATTATCATGATAAGTATTTACTTTGCTTTTAAATTCGAGTTCTGAGAAGGTGTGAGATAAGTGTGACAAACTAAACCTAAGTAATGTATTGCTAGTAAGGCAGACAAAGTAAAAAGTCCCGAAAAATGAAGAAACAAAATTCCAATATCAGAAATTTTCACTTCTGTTCCTTTTCTTAGCATCTCGAAAAAAATACATAAGGGAATCAGAAATAGAAAAAACAGAAATTAAAAAAATCAAAGACCAACAAAAATTGTCCCCTGTTCTACAGTTCCATCTTACTATAATTTTGCTCTCAATAAAAATCCCCCCCTTTCCCAAATCAAGAAAGCCAAAAATTTCATAGAGTTTCTAGCCATCACTCCCAAAACACAGGTGACAGATATAGCCATATCGATTAATCTCAAAGGGAAAAGTTGTTATTTCCAATAAAAACTAAAAAATTATAAAAAAAATTAAACAAACAAACAAATCGTCTGAACCTCACCAAACACGATAGATCAAGGAACTAGGAAAAAATCAAAGCACAAAACTTTACCAATTCTCAAGATTTTCAACTAAAAGACGCAAAAATAGTTTGGGGGATTGCCTTCCAAGAGATTTACACAAAATTAAACGATAGAAACTTTGATTGAGAAATAGGTTAAGAGAGAGGATCGGAGGGTTAAAGAAGACAACCTGGGAAAGGATCGGACCGGAAAAGACGATTAGGGTTGGTTTGTTCCTTTGATAGAGTTTCTGCTGTCTGAATCAATATTTGTATGTGGTAGATGATGAAGGGAGGTGATGATAAAGCTACCAGGTTTGGTTTTAGATCCTTTGCACATTGAACACGTGCTATCATATGGTTGGTTCCTTGCCCAACTTTTTTTTGGTCACAAGTTTTTTCTTTGTTCTAATATTCTTCTCCTTGATTTTTTATAAAATTATACACTTTCTCTTTTAGTTTTATATTAATTAAGTATAAAATCATTTTGTGGTGAGTAAAAAATCATCTAGCTTAAGTTATCTTAGTATGTCTCGGAATATTTTATTGTGGTTCATTTAATTTAACATTTTTTTAATTTGGAGCCAACTATGATGTTTATCTAATTAGTATTAAAAATAATAGTCGGCAGTAGCATTCAAATTTGGCGAGCTCAGCTGCAAAATGATTCATCTCAACGGCTCTAATTGTACTGTTCATGTTTCTCTTTGTAATTTTAATCCAACGCTTCTTATAGATTGCCAGTTCCACACTAAATATAGAAGGAAAAGGTGTTTTTATTGCTAAAACGCGCATTTCATCGATACATAAGTATTTTTTTTATAGATCAACATTTATTATGTAATAATTTGTTATTAGACTTAATATTGTTTTTTAATATTTAATATATAATTTTTTCTAAATTTAAAATGGTAAATAAAAATTGAGCTTTTGAAAGAGAGAAAAATATTAAGTTTTTAAATATGTAAAGAGTTCAATAATTACATTGTACCGTTAAATTTTGTAAGCTTTTCTCTTGTTACTAAATTTTGATATGAAAATTTAAAAAATATTTTTCCAAACCAATTTGTCAAACCCAATATTGTTGTTTTAGGTTATACCACGCTCCTTTGTGTTTTTTTTTTCTCCATCTTAATAAATACCCCAAAATAGATATAGTTTATTTGATCAGGTGAGTGAAATTAGGTTAAGCTTCTTCCTTTTAAGTTTTGGATTTAAATCTTAGGAATAACAAAATGTGAATAATTTTTATTTAAAATATAATTATTTAAAAACTACCATTGATTAGGCAGATGATAATCATGAACTTTGAGTCTTAATTGGTGCCTGAAGGAAGAGAAGAAAGGGAAAATGGAAATTATGCTTACAATTTTTTTTTAATTCAATCCTATTACAAGTTTAATTATAAATTGTATCAAAAGCTAATATTTCTTAATGTAAAATACTTATAATCTATTTTAAATTAACAACTCATAAAAATAATTTTTTAATATATATCAATTCGCTTTCAAAATTATATAAATAAATCTCATTTTGAAAAAATTATGTACAAGAACAAGTTATATTAAATTGACACAATTTTATTAAGAAACAATTGTTTCTACATTATGTTTAACATGTGAAAGTGAAGTTTTGTACCGATAGCACGACTTATTATGTAATATTGAAAGAATCAAGAACAACTTCAATTTTAGTTAATTACTGTTAATTAAGATTGTGCAAAATTTATACAATATGAGATTAACCTAAAAGTCGAAATGATTTTTCAAAAATATAAAAACACTAAAGTCATGCAGCTACTACTTTCAATTTAATATTATTAAACCACTCATTTCTTAGTTTATTATTACTTTTTATTTTTAAAGAAGTAGTGCATAAAGAGCACAACTTTCTCTTTCCTTATTTTAAGTTTTTTTTTTTCATTTTCAAAAATTTTGATGTATACGTTTGTATCTTAAATTATTTTTTTAAATAATTTGACTGGTTTCAAAAATTTATAATATTTTTAAATTTTTTATATAATCATATATTTTTGAAATTTAAGATATTTAAATAACTTAATTATTACCATATATATATATATATATATATATATTAAATAAAGTGTATAAAATTTAATAATTAAGTTATTTAAAATATTAAAAAATAGGTTTAATCATTCACTAAGTCCCTATTTTCGCATGGAATCTCAATTTCGTCCCTTTCTTTCTGAAAATATCAATTAGGTCCCAATTTTATGAAAATTGTAACAAATGGATCCTTTCCGTTAAATAGTGTCAAACGGCGTTACGGTGTGTTTGACGTGGCACGCTGTTGTGGACGTGTTATCTAACGTGGTTTAAGAGAGCAGGAGCAGTGGGGCACGTGGAAATTGAATATTTTATAAGTAAAAAGAAAAGAATTTTTCTTCTCCTCTTTCGCCATGGTTCGAGCTCGTAAAGCAGTGAAGCTTCATTCCCTTTTCTCTTTGTCTCACGTTGAACCAAGAACTCAAGCAATGGGAGTTGCGGCGTGCACGGGAAAGTTCTTTCCCTTACTCTTATGGGTTCAAGGCTCGAATCAAAATAGGGAACTTCCCTCTCTTCTTCTTTGATTCCAGCGATTTCTCTTTGGGAGTGGAGATCAGGTTTGGTGGCTCAGGCGTGGTGTTTCCGCGACGTGTGGGTTCGCCATCAACCACAACTAACTACCAACCTAAAAAGTCCAATCACAAACACCATTCACATTAACATTATAAAAGGCCCAAATAGATATAACCCTAACACGTTAGACTATGTTTGAATTAAGTTTAAAAAGTACTTCTGCCAATTCGAATGCACCAAATGAAGAAGAAATTGTTGTTTTCAGGTTAAAAATTGATCTAAAATTGCTGCAACAGGCGCTTCTCCTCCGCCTGCCACGCGTTCCGGTGCGACGCGAAGATCTCCACCACTCGAGCGTTCGCCTTCGAGTCCTCCTGCCGCCGCGACTTCATCTGGCGCAGCTCCTCCGCCGCCTCCACCGCCCGCAGCGACATCATGCGCACCTTCCCCTGAAGCGCCGGTACCGAGTTGTTTTCCAGCGTGGCCAGAAACATGGAGAAGCTTAGCCCTAAATACGAACGCAACATCTTGTGATAGTCTTCTTCTTGCTGCTGTTGTTTCTCTTTAGCCATTGCGACGAGGGCTTGGGTCTTCCTCTTGGACTTCGTCTCTGTGAGCAGCCCCTGTTCGTACGGGAAAAGGAGAAGAAGCAGAGTAATGGCGTTGGTGGTTTTGGTTGTATGGACTTTTAGAACTCAGCAAAAGGGAAACAGTGCCTTTTTGTCCTTTCTTTCTCTTCATGTGCCTGCCTTTGTCTATGATGCTTATTTAACCATCATCAATTAAAAAAATTGTTGTCTTCAGATTTGCTATTGAAATGCATCAAACGAAGATAGAACTTGTTGCATCTAAAAACCTCTTTTGAGCTCTCCCAACTGATTCAAACACAAACTTAGATCTAGGTTTTAGAAAACAGTCATCTAGGCTGCGTAGGGCGGGGGCGGTGAGCTGGTAGGGGAGGGAGGAGGAGTGGAGGAGGGGGAGGAAGTCGGGGAGGATGTGGTGGATTAGGGCTTGGTTGTAGGAGGCGATGGCGGCGGCGAAGCCGGTGAAGAAGAGGACAGGGGGTACGAGGGAGAGGATGAATTTCCACGTGCCCACTGCTCCTGCTTGAATCAACCACGTCAGATAACACGTCCACAACAGCGTGCCACGTCACAAACACACCGTAATGCCGTTTGACATTATTTAACGGAAAGGATCCATTTGTTACAATTTTCATAAAATTGGGACCCAATTGATATTTTCAGAAAGAAAGGGACGAAATTGAGATTCCATACGAAAATAGGGACTTAGTGAATGATTAAACCTAAAAAATATTTACACAGAAAAGTTAAAAAAAATAGTAAACAAAATTAGAACATTTTATTTTATTTTGTGAATCAAATTACTAAAAAATATCTCAAAGAAGAAAAAAAGTTTGCACCAAAATTAACAAAAGATCAATTTTTTAATTATATTATTGTAAAACATTTAAGACTTAAAATATTATAAAAATTTCAGTTGTTAAAAATAATATCTTAATATTAAAAAATATATGATTATATAACTTTTTTAAAAAATGTTAGAAATCTTTAAAATCAATTATTCAAATTATTAAAAATTAATTTTAAATTAAAGAATTGTGTATATCAAAATGTTAGAAAATGAAAAACGTGCTTTTTATCCACGATTTCTATAAAAATAGAAAATAATAAAATTAATATAAACTGATAAATGAGAGATTATAAATAAAATAGAAAATAATAAAGTTAATATAAACTGATAAATGAGAGATGAAGAAGTTGTCTGCATTATATCATGTACAGTTTTAGTGTTTGTCTCTACTACTTTAGGTCTACTAAAATCATAATCTTAATGATTTATGTTAATTTTAGTTAATTAAAATTAAAATGGTTGTTGACTTTCAGAACTTCAAGTTAGTTGTAATTAATTAAAATTGTTGTTGACTTTCACAACTTCAACATTAATAATATAAGTTGTATTATGGATATATGACTTCAGTTTCACCCATCTAAAGTCATGAAATGTAATGATGACCTTTTTTACAAATGGTACAAAATTTGACATGATTTATTGCACATAATTTTTAAAAAATGAAACATATAGATGAGTTTGAGATTGTTTTATCTCATATTGATATATAAAAGAACACCAAATAATTAATACTTTAAAGTTTTTTTTCTTTATAATGATATTATTTTTCGATTTTGTTAATGTTTCTGAGTTTGTGTGGATAAAATTGAGAGGGGAGAAAAATTCATTTCTTGTGCCAGTTTTTGTTGGTGAGGAATCTCCTAACATGGTAATTTGATTGAAGAAAAAAGATGTTATAAAACGTGGTATAACATAATTATCAAGTAGTAAATAAACATTACATGCAAAATTCAGACAATATAACATTTTAAAACGTTTGAAAAAGAAATATGAATTTAATTAATGTTTGTAAACAAGTTTTCAATAATATCATATATTCTAGATAATGTTATTCTTAAAATCTAATTGTACACCGTTTATGTTCGAAGTATAATTTAGTTTGATTTTGAATGAAAAAATCTTCTAAATGAAACATAGAAATAGTAAGTGATTTGATTAAATATAATATTAAATTTAACCAAATTAAGTGAATCTTATTGTTTGAAAAAATTTGACACTTTCAAATTTTCAATTTACCTCTTAAAATATTTTTAATTTGACATTAATAAATAAGTTGACACATATAGAATCTAATAATTAAT